TTCTCTCGCTCTCTCTCTCTCTCTCTTGCTCTTCTTCTCTCTCCCCTTAACGTTATAAGCTGCCTTACTAATAGTCTATCGGGTTCTATCGATATGCAACCAATCATCCAGCCACATATACATATTACCAGTATGCCCAATATTTACAGTGAAAGTATTCTTAGTGGGTAAACGTTAGCCACCTACGCTCTACGCCGTAACAGTGAGTCTACTAGTCTAGCCACTTTTATACACCACCTACAGCCGCCGCACATCGCTCCAGTCTTACTATCGCTCATATCGTTTTTGCAGACCACAAGCAATATGGGTGCCACAAGTCTTAAAGAATTTAACCACGGCCCTGTAACTGAACTGCGTTGTCAACGTGAAATAACAGTTTGACAGACTGGCTCGCAGCTTTTATGGATTTCTCGCCGGATTTCACGTGCCGCTGCGTATGGCAGACTGCAAGCATCTGCCGCCGGCTGTTGCCTGTACGGTGTGCCAGCCCGCGGTGTTTCACCTTTCCTGCTTCACTCGTATCAACGACTACTCTACACATATATGTACATCTTCTTCTGACATTTGCTACCATTCGGATTTCATCACAGCAGGAGTGTATTTAACATAATATAGATATAATACACTTTACTCTCAGACTACACTCAGACAACACTCTATATTATACACTCCTGATCACAGTGTGTCGATTTGCTGTTGCATGCGCCCACGCACCGGCATTGCATATATGCTTTGGTTTTCTATAAACTGATAGCAGGTGACGAGTGAAAATATACGAACGTTCTATCGAAACCCATAGCAACGCGTGTTTCTTAATACTGATGCGAGCGATAAAGTTTCGACGAGGCCTCCAAATTCGTGCGCCGCGAGTACCGAAATGCATCGAGTACCGAAATGCATCGAGTACGTAACGAAAGATCTCGTACCTATAAATAGTAAATTAACAGCATTCATCGATCTAGGTTTAAAACACCGACTGATATCTACCATTAGCGCACGCAACTCCACAAGCATTTTAGAATCAAACGAACAATTTTACGTTTTAAAGAGGGCTCTGTAAAGAAGACAACAGACATGCATAATGTAATTAGTTAATTGCCAATACCATACCACACACACCCTAATATTGTATATATATAATTTATATTATATACATATATATATATTATGAATTTATCAGGCTTTTCTCCAGGCCACTAAGGCACTAACGTATGTCGGGTCCAACATGCCTTCAAAGCTGAAGCCATTTTGTGACGCCCCCATGAATCCTCCAAAACGCCTCAACTGCTTGCAACCTTCCGAAATTGCTGAAAAGAACCCTGTGGTCTCTTAAATAAAACTTCATTACATTAGTCTTAACATTGGTTTTTCCACGTAGACTGGACCTTTCTAAATACTGCTTTACGAGAAACTCAATAACGTTACGATGTCACTCTCTATCAACTATCAAACAAGTTTACCTTAAGACTAACGTTGACACTAATTTTGCTTCTAACAACGGCGAACCCTAATAGATACATACATACATTACATACATACATACATATATATATATATATATAATATATATATATATATATATATATATATATATATATACATATGTATGTATATATATATATACACATATATTTACTTATATATATACATATTAATATATATACAGGGGTAGAAATTATCTTTTGAACAAGGGAGTCCAACGGACTCCCTGCCCTCAAAAAGAGGGAGTCCGCGGCAAAATGAGGGAGTCCGCAGTCTGAAGTTCAAAATTAAAGATATTAACAAAGCATGTGCTTATTTGAAGATTCATGCGGGTTGCACGTCTAGTTAACGAACTAGTCTAACGAACTAGTTAGCATGGCAGAATTTTCGGGAGTCACACGAACTCCTGCATATGTCAAATCAGGGAGTCCGACAGTAAATCAGGGAGTATTTGACTCCGGACTCCGTTAATTTCGCCACCTGTATATATATACATATACGTGGGTGCTGTGGCAGGATGCTTGACACAGAGAGCACTAGGCGACCGGCTCTGCGCCCGTGGCCAACATCACGCGGCACTCTCCTCATCGGACTGTCATGCAAGCGACACACACTCACGCTCGTCGATGTCATCACGCGGCACTCTCCCACATCGGACTTTCATGCAGCGACACATCACACTCGTCGATTGCATCACCATGACGACGTCGCCGTTCTCGCGCTCCGGACCCGAGTCGTCGACACCGCGCGGGGGCGCCCCCTCCCGCCGCGCGGCGCGCCGCGCATCCCGACGACAGGTTGCGATCGTCGACAGCTGCGTCCGTATCGCGATCCCGCGTCGCGCCGCGGTCTCGTCCTCGCTGTGGCCTGCGCTCGACCTTCGACGACCTCTGCCTTCTCCTCGTCGCTCGGCCGTGCGTGCAAAGTTCAACCCCTTGCGCGTCTCGGAGTCCGCAGGGCTCTCGGATTTCCGCACGACGGCCGCCGCCGCCGCGCCGCGGACCCTTCGTTGCCCCGGCGGCGTCGCCGTGGAATGAGTCGACGGAATCGAATGCCGTGCGGCTGCCACGGCGACCGCCTCGCCGTCCGCCTTGCGACGACGTCTCCGTTCTGCGAGACGCCGCCGCCGGACGAGGCGTCGGACGACGAGTCGCGTCTCAGCCGCTTCTCGCCCTTCTTGAGTCCGAGCGCGATCTTCGCGCCGATGCCCTTCCCCTTCTCCTTCGCCGCCGGCGGCGACGCGGGTTTCGTCGCCTGAGGCGCGAGGTCGATCGAGGACCGTCTCGTGAGACTGCTCCTCGGAGATCGACGACAGCGTGTTGTGCTTGGGCCTGCCTCGCAGCGCTCGGCGAGTTGCTCGTCGTCCGCCGCGGCGACGGGTCGTCTCGTCGACGACGACCCGATGTCCTCGGCAAGTTGCGGATGCGGAACGACGCGTTGGTGAGTAGGGGGCGGCACGATGCGGCCGCTCCGCGACGCTGATCCCATCGGCCTCCTCCCCTCCTCCCGCGCGCCTCCCCGCGTCGCCGCGAGCGGGCAGGAGGCCGCGATCGCGGTTGCTCACGAGGAGGACGTCCGGGAGGAGCTCGCGGTCGCGGCGCTGCGTGCACGCGGTCGACGTGTCGCGCCCGCGCCGCCGCGCCGCCACGCCGCGGACCCGCGACGAAGGAAATAGAGCGCGTGCAGCAGCTCGAGCAGCAGCGGCGCGCTTGACGGCGACCGCTGACGGCACCCGACGACGCGGCGACGCGGACTGCGAGCCGGCACAGCGCCGCGGTGGACTCGCGCGGCATGCGCGCGACGTCGGCGCGGTAAACGCTCGACGAGCCGCGCCATCACGGCGAGCGGTTGCCGCGGTGACGCGGCTGACGACGGGCGCCGGGCGGCGGCGGCGACGGCGCGCGCTCGTGGACTCGTAGCGCGAGAGCGCGTGCTCGGTGAGAGCGGCGTGGTGCTCGCCCGCCGCCAGCCGCTCGTGGTAGACGGACGGCTGCGAGAGCGCGGGGACCCGCAGCGGCCGCGCCGCCTCGTCGTCGTCCGTCGCCGACAGATTGTACATGCCGAGCAGCAGCACCTCGACGCTCGCGCACGCGCTCTTGCGTCCCTCGGTGACAGCGTCCAGGTAGGCGTGGATGAGCGAGGGAACGAACTGCAGCGCGAATCGCCGCAGGGCCGGCTCGGGCGAGCGGTAGAAGTCGAACAGCTGGTGGCAGACGGGATCGCGCGCGTCGTCGTCGGGGTCGCCGAGGATGCGGGAGAGCCCCGCGGCGAGCTCGCTGCTGCCCTCGTCGCCCGCGGCGATGGCGGCGGCGGTGGAGGCGGCGTAGGTGGAAACCTCGCTCGCGGCGAGAGCTTTGTACTCGGCTAGCCACTCCTTGACGGCGCGCCCCGGCTGCTTCTGCTGCTGCTTCTGCTTCTGCTGCTGTTGTTGTTGTTGATGCTGCTGCTGCTGCTGTTGTTGATGTTGCTGCTGCTGTTGATGTTGCTGCTGCTGCTGCTGCTGCTGTTGCTGCTGCTGCTGCTGCTGTTGCTGCTGCTGCTGCTGCTGTTGCTGCTGCTGCTGCTGCTGCTGCTGCTGAGGATGATGCTTCAGCTGCGGCTGCTGCTTCAACTGCTGCTGCTGCTTCAACTGCTGCTGCTTCAGCTGCTGAGACGCGTTCTGCGGCGAATCCATCGCTGCTCACGCTGTGTCCCCGCGCACTGACCTCGCCCTGAAAACATGTCATGTCAACGTCAAAACTCGTCTCTCTCTCTCTCTCGTGCGCGTTTATCTAATGCGCTCTCTCCGAAATCGCGCGCAAGTTTCGCATAATGCCGCGAAATTCATTGCCGACTTTTCGTTTCCGATCGAGAATGGATTTTTTTGTAAAGCTGATCGACATTAAATTAATTACATCATGGACCGATAATGTGTACTACGAAACCTGTTTCAGCAGTCAGCTGCCTGTGAAAACCACTTTTGCTGTTTACCCCCCGAGTTGCTATTATGTTCGGGTTTAATTGCATCAGCTGATCTTAAGAGGTCAACTTGCTTGCGATCGCAATTGCACCTGGGCAACGTGCATGCACGCGTAGGTTCAGTGAATGCTTCTACATACAGTATCTATCCTGAGGGCATAAAGAGGACCGTGTCAATCCGCGTATCAATTCACCTGAATCTGCTATGCTCATACACTGGATAGCGATGGAATGCGTGGGTGTACGAGCGCTCTAGCATGATCCCTCACTTCGTCTATCACTTGGGCACTGTAGAAATAAGTAGACATGTGTAGCCATGCACTTTTATGAACAAAACCTATCTAATGGATCAATACAGCTTAATTTTAGCAGCTGTTTCTAGAATTTTCTACTCTAAAAGCTATCTCGGAAATGCGTGTAGCATCGATCGCCTGATATATGAGAGCTTACCTCTTTTCAATGGCTTCCTGTCTGAAATGAATTCAATATATATTTTATTAAAAACCTGCTCAGAAACATGTTTATGTATATATACATTACATAAAATAGCAAAACTGTACTACTCGCTAACATAGATGAATAAAAATATAAACTAATTGGTCATTTATAGTAATGGATTAAAAGCAAGCCATGTCAGGATTCGAACAGCAAGATTGGCGCTACTGAAGGAACTAATAATTCACAGGATGAAATAAGTAGGAAAATGCAGGATTACTTACTGTAAATGCAAATGGGTTGCTAACAGCTGCATCTTTTTGAGGCTCTGAAATCGATGGGAAACAGCACCTGTTCAGAATCTCATTAATGAATACTAATTAGTGTTCGTACTTGCAATATGTAAAGTGCTGCCATGACACATGAAGAACACGTTTATATTACATCAGACTACAGATATATGTAAACTGAAAATCACATCTTGAAGCTATCAGTGATCAACCATGATACTGTTTTCACATGCAGTGCCAGCATCTACAAACATCAAAAAACAATTTTTTTGAATCTACCTGCTAAACCAATTAAAACACTGAAAATGCAACGAAAACAAATGTTCTTACCGCATCACAATTAGCTACTGAATGTTCTAGAATAGCAAAGTTTTCCAACGTGTGAATTAGTACCTGAAAGTAACCAAAAAGCATTGTGAGTTTCAGAAAGACTGATTCCATGCTGAACCAACAAGCTTCCACAAAGTTCCTCTAGTCAAATAAAATTATCTGTCATTGGCACTCACTTGGATATTATGGATAAGCCGGCCCCCTCACTCCGAGGTCGGAGGATCGCATGCGCGTTCCCAAAATCTCTGGTAAAGGGGTATTTTTCGCGGCACACAAAATGCCGGCCCAAGAATTGTAAACAAGTGCCGCATAGGCAGACAGCGCTCATCTAACGTCTACTGCGGTGACTCTGTGGTGGAGTGGAGGGATTCTAGTAAACCCTGTTAGTCCCAAATGTGTTCACATACACGCCGAAGAAGTGGAATGCACAGGGATGGTATCAGGAACCTTCTCAAAAGAATGTTCGTTGGGATCGTTATGAAAGTTGCCACGAGATGGCGCGTACGTTTAAGTGTCTTCAGATTAAAGATGGAAGCCTCCATCATTCGTAGTAGCCAACAACTATTTGGCAAGACAGAATAGGTAAGCACTCATCCATTTACCTACGCAAGCCTACAGCTGCAAATTGCAATAGAGAGCTGCCACTGCAACCAATTAACGCAGGCAAAAACTGCAGCCACCAGTGCATACGTTACATGTAACATACTGACAGTACAGAATGACATAAGAAATTATACGATTTAAGGAACATACACCTTCTTTAACCAAATTTAGCTTTTGAAATTTCACTGTGACATTGTAGCCTCATACATCCAGGCATGTATAGATTCTACTAGCAAACCCGGCAGTCAAATTCTTTCTAACAGGACAGTCAAACAAATCCAAGTTTAACCCTCTTTCTTGAGGTCAAAAGGTTATCCGACACTTACTCTTCGCAATGTCAAGCGAAGGGACATTTCATGGTCCTTTCAATAAAGCCATAAAATGCTAGGTCACCGCTGAAACAAAAAGTTTTTCAATCGCTGTCCGTCAGACCATGTCCCTCAGAAAATGTTCTAAAATCTGCCCTGTGCCCCACTGACCTTTGACCTGTGACCTCATATTCGGCAGCCAGTGATGGCTTTTCCTACCATGATGCTATAGCACCGACTATCACGAGCCTAGGTCGAGCCGTTTAGATTTGTGCCGCAATTCTGCATTTTCTCCATATACCTTAAGTTAAGGAGTGAATGTTCCCCCTTCTTTTACACCTCTTGACCTTTGACCTTTGACCCCCAGCTTCGACATCCAACTCGTTTTCGGATACCCCCCCACATCCGAATATCGTGACGTAGCGTCGAGCGGTTTAAGATTTGCTGCCCAACTGTTGACGCCCGACGGACGCACGGACGGACGCACGGACGGACGGCACGGACGATCAAGCGATTCTACAAGCTGCATCTGACTATGTCAGATTGATGCTAAAAAGGGGTGTATTTGACTTTTCACCCGGAGATTTCTTTAAAAAGGGCCTGTTTTTCCCTCTCTCTCTTTCATCTTGAATATCATAGAAAACTTTATAAAATCCGCGGGATCAAATTCCTGAAATTCCTGGTAGTTTTGAAAGCTCATTCAGGTTTATTTCATTTTGAAAGTAAAAAATATTGCCCCTCTAGTTCCCGGATTTAGGGGGGTCTCCAAGCAGGAAAACCCCGCAAAAGCCCGCGAAAGGGAGGTTCCAAATTTTGGCAGTCCTGAGATAGGGGGTGCTTTCAAAGGAGGGAACGAGCATATGCGTACCCTATAATAACACTGAGTGGGGGGCCGGGTGGATAAGTCATCACTATATTATCACAAAAGTATTTGGCTCGAGTCATCAATAGTTTTTATGTAATCAACTCCTTCCTGTGCTTGACATTAGATTTCTACTAGAACAACAAGGACCTGCAGTACAGGCAGTACAGCGACACACTTACAAAAATTTACATATTCAAAAAATTCTGTAGTCTGACCACCTAAAAACTATCTGCCATATAAAGAGAGACCAGATTGGATCAATCGTCTCCACATCATCCGAATATAGACTCTACTTTTAGTGAATATTGGTGCCTGCAGATAAACAGACGCGTGGATTGACCTCATCCAAGGGCAGTAATTGTATTATATTACGTAACTATAGTATAGCCAAGACGTGCCTGTCCCACGCCTGTTACATAGCTATCACACAAGACAGGTGCACTGCCTTGTTACAGACAATATAGACTATTAGTATTAGTGCATCACGTGATAAATCGTTGAAATTCCATTGGATAACGTCGCAGGTACTATGAAACAATAGTGCCCGCATGAGCGGGCACTATTGCTTGTGCGACGCATTGTTATTCATGTTATTGCATTTATGCATTGTTATTTGCATTGTTTGAATTAAATTTTAAAATTCGAATTAAATTTCCCCTACCTATAGCAGTTTTCCTGAGTCATCGACAGGTGGCGAGACCAGCGTTGGTATCATGTGTCATGTGTGTATCTATCCTATATTTAATCATAGCACTGAGTGCTGTGGCTTCCCTCATTGAGTCATTATCAAAAAATTATATCTGCTAAAATTAGTGGACAATAACATATGGACTCACTGTGACAGGCATTACTGACCCGAGTGGAGTTACCATTAATTTTTTTTATTGAGACGTTCCAAGTGCCTGAGGCTGTGACTGTCACTGTCACTGAATACAATAATACTAATAGTCAATACCTACTGACAGTACTGTCAGTAGTCAAGTACACAGTGCATGCACACCTACACTTAGCTCTAGTAGGCTATAGCCCGCGGATCGCTGCCGCAGGCCTCTCCGCAGCTATCCGCTAGCATCTAGCAGCTAGCAGCTAGCGCGCAGGCAGGCAGCGATCCGCGGGCTATAGTACTAGAGCTAACCTACACTAACCTCGGTTGCCTTTGCGCCTTTCAATAGTTGCTTCCCAAAGCTAGCAACGTCGTCAATGTTCCGTTGGATTTTGCCACTTAAACGTATTTTAGCGTCTAAATTTCGTTCACTTTGCTGCTGCTGAAGACTTTTCGTTTCCATTTGCATTTTCACGAAGAACCGCAACTGCCCTCTATATCAAATGTTCAACGGAAGTCACACAGAGTGTAAACCGGAAACAGGTTTGCGTCATGAGTGAGTAAGTTGGATTGGATACTATTTTAGTATTTACTAATTTAGTGCTATAGCCTATATCATATATATGTAAAAATATTTCAAAATGATTCAGTACGTGACCATTATATCTGTAAATTGTAATGTCCTTTCGCTATTAGGCAGTTGTGCCAGTGGCAGTGCAGCAGGCTGAGTAGCGGGTTTGTTGTGCCCAAACTTGGAATCTTGCACAAACTTGGAATTTCAGCGCAGTTTGGGCAACCAATCTTGAGATTGGGCAAACAGAGGTAAACAGAGCTTGCACAAACATATGATTATTAGGATTTCAAATGTTATCATAACTATAACCTTCTTTCCTCAATGTGTTTGACACCTTTGTATAAATATTAAATGATTATAATAAATAATTGGATAAATGTGAGATAAATCTCTTCCTACTCCTAGTTTGCACCACGCCCACCACACACTCGCTATGTCTATGAGCGGTTGTTGAATCACCGACTGTTTTCAGTTTGCCCAATCTTGAGATTGGTCAGCCAAACTAGGGAATCTGCAGTTTGGGCAGCACAATCGCTGCACAGTCTCGAGATTGTGTAGATTCCAAGTTTGGGTACGACAGGTTCAAGGATAGCCGATAGCCGGATAGGGCTTAGACTCCCTAGGGCTAGGGGCCCGTAGAGAGAGCACGGCCCGATTGAAACCTATGTCACTTTCGTCAATGTGGGGGTAACCCCTTTAAAATCGAGAGAGGTGTTGTTGAGGGTGTTTTTTGTTCATTTCGACTCATTTTAACTGAGAAATATTATGTGAGTTCACAGGAAGTGTGGTAAAAACTGTGTTGAAGCGACACTATTCGCCCGTTTCCGACTGTTTCTCACCATTGCTACGTGTGAGAATTTTTCCCCATAGCTATATATTTATGTGTCAGTGTGGCTGAGAGGGTCTGTGTCCCCCAGGTTACTGCTGGAACGTACCCTGGGTACGGTCCGGTATACCGGAATGTTCCGGAACGTACCCTGGTACTATCTAATATGCCGGACCGTACCTCTTCTACTCCACTAACGAGTCTAGGGAGTCGCCTACTCCCTAACCCTAACTCTAACTCTAACCCTAACCATATCAAATAGTTACCATGGTACGTTCCGGCAGTACCCTGGGGGACATAGACCCTATGAGCGTCAGTGTGCAGCAGCTAGCGTGCGGCAGCCAGCGTGTTGCAGATGAGCATTTGGGCGGCATTTACAGGAAATTGTCGGCAATAATAGGTGAAAGAGAGTAGAGAAACATTAAGACTTTGGTAGTAATTAAATATAGATTTCATATTTATTTAGCATTATAATTTATTGAAACGCTCCAAGTGCCTGTGGAGCAGCATGCGTGTGGCGTAGCGTACTGTAGCGTAGCCGTAGTACTATATAGTCTATGGCACTATACTAGTATATAGTACTATGGCAGTCCAAGTGTATTACTATTAGCTTGATGTAGTGAGCTCATATCGGACCCAACGTGCATTAGGGGCCTGGGGAGAACACTGCAGTGCTTATGATATTATAAATAGGAATACTAAATAAGTTGTTGTTGTGGTGGTGGACTACAATAATATGCCATACAACCGACAATGGTTAACCTTTTAGGCAGTGCGGGTTGTGTAGGCTAAACTGTACCCAAAGTGGCACGTACATCATGTATACTGCACTATTGCCATAGTTCATCACTGGTGTGATGTTAATTAATTACTTAAAAATTATGTGCTTTCACAACGCAGTCATAATAGTCGTCACTACAACCAAAGAGCTTATATTGATCAATATAGGCTCTTTGCTACAACCACATTTTGATGCAATGTGTTTATTAACAGCTGTTTTTGAAACAGGTGAGCATCACAAGTTTGGCATTCCTAGAGGTCGCCACCACTTTGCGACGATGTCGGAGGCAACGTTGCCGCCTGGCTGGGTTGCGAAACGCTCGAGGTCTCACCCTAACCTCGTCTACTATGCCAACGCGATCACTCGTACGTCGACGTGGGACGATCCTCGGCTCGATAGTGGTTTGAACAAAAAAGCTGCGGAGGTAGACAAGTGCGTCTCTCCTACTGCGAGATGGAAACCCATTGACGACAAGAAAGAAGTGATTGCAGGTGGAAGTTCCACGCTTGAACGTAAAAAAAGTCTAAGCAGTCAACGAAGCGGCAGCTTCAAGCCAGTACCAAGGGCATTGATGATGCCAGGCAAACGACATAGCTGTGATAGTAGCAATGCGAATGAAATTGGAAAGGGTAAAAAATCAAAACATAATGATCCAACATATGGCTCCCCTAATCAAAAAGTGATATCTGACCTCTCCTCAACGATGACTAAAAGTGAAAGCAAGAAGCTTAAATCTTCCAAGAAGGCTCTTTTAGTTTTAATTTCAGATGGCGAGGATACAGGAATCCCCGACAAACGTGTTTTAAAAGTCTATAGCGATGGACAAAAATCTAGGGAGACTAATGGTGTGCACATAGCAAAGCCTTATAAATTTCGTGCTCCCATTGTAAGTAAGCAGCCTTCAGACGTCACCAGTCCTCGAGTGAAAGTCGGAACTAAGTCACCGGGTAGTCGGAACGCTGCATCATTCGCATGCGAAAGTTTGCGAATGCCGCTGAAACGGAGACCCGTTCCCGCGGTAACCGACTCTTCCGGGAAGCCGAAGCAATCTTCGGCTCAGGATGGAAAACATTCGGAAGATGCTCGGCTGGACGTGTCTAGAAGAACTAGTGCGTCTGTAGGCGAAGATTGTAAATCTTCAGCAGCCGAGACTGCGCGTCAGCAGACCCCAACGGTACTGTCAGAATCGTCGCTGCCCTCCTCAAGAAACGTGTCGGCGATCGAGAATAAAATATTGCAAATCACGTGGAACCGGAGGAAAAATAAACTGATTAGTAAACCTAGCAGATGGGATGTCACATCTGTCTCCCAGAAGGGCCGTAATTCTAATTTGTCCGGTGAAAGTGGAGTACTGAAGAAGAAGGTGCTGCAGATGGCAAAATCTCCTTCAAAGACCAGTGGATCGACACTCAGTACAGCAGACAGATTACTTTCAGCTCTGTGTACAGAAACGAAGGCAGATAAGGACAAAGAGACCAAGATTCAGCATTCTTCTATAGTATCAGCTACATACAGCCCATCAGAAAGGTCTCTTTTGCCCCTGTCTTCAAAAAGCCTAGTGGTAAACAAGAAAAAGAAAATGTGCAAAAAGAAGGTGAAAAGTTCTGCTTTAGACTCCAGAGATAGTCCATCTATCAGCTCTGCCTCATCTGTGCCAACAGAAACCTTCGCGCAAAAGACTGAAGAGGTAGACCTGGAAAAACCTTCTTTATACAGCAGTGATTGGACACCCACCATACTAAAGAAATTCAAGTTAGCCGGTACGACAATGATCGTTAAAAAATTTCTAAATATAAGTAGAGATTCTGGAAATTGCAATAGAAATTCTGGTACCATTCTGAGTTTGTACAATACGTAGTCAAATCACCAAAACATAGTAGGTTTCTTTATGTATGGTCGCTACGAAACGTGTTGGGTAATAGATGAAGTGACGTAGCCTGAACATTTTCAACTCTGGTAAGCAAGTACTAGTCAAGTTGTTTCATGTATGCATTTCTAGAAATTTCTTTGAACTGCTTGAGGATTGACGCGATTTATGTCGCTACAGGCCAAAAGCGAGATGATGGGAATTCGGGGCCAAGGAGCAATTTTCTCTCTGCACTACTGGCAGAGTCCATACAAGAAACCAAGAGGACAGGTAGCAGAGAAACTCTACGTCAAGATAGTGATGCAGCCGCAGCAAAATGTGTGAATCAGTTTAAATTTTGCACGTCTACAGGTGTGTTGTCTAATAACTTTCTGAATACCGTAGATAGTAATGTGAGATACATAGCTTAATTTATGAACATGCAACTATTTGTGTTAAATTCCATTATACCCAACAGTTTCAATATTGTTATACTCGTACAGCTATGTAGTTTTTATATTATATGTTGTATAGGCTAATGAGGACATTCTTATTATATTAGATGTATCAGACTAGTTACTGTGTTTCATGTAAAATATATCGGTCTCGTCTGTATGTAGTACCACAATAATGGTCAGTGTCTGATTATTCAAGTAGATTCAGGTTTTGTGTATTGTTGTGTCATTTCAGGTAGGAAATCTCCCTGGGATGTTATTGTTCGCAACGCTGTATCCAATGACGTTGAAGACATGGACTGTGAACTGTTGCCAGCTGCTAACATGTTGAAGGAAGCACCGTCCTCACTGAAACAACTGTGTATGTTTACCATGTGTGCGTGTGCATGCGTGTGTGTGTGCGTGCGGCAGTGTGTGCATATGTGTACATATATATATATATATATATATATATATATATGTATGTATAATGAGAGAGAGAACGGGGTGGTGAGGTAGAGATAGAGAGATAGAGAGACAGAGACAGAGACAAGTGATGAGGGACGATTATACATCTTGGAATAATATCCAAACTAACTTCACTCTAAAACTGAAATAACTAAACTAAACTCTTAAATCTAAGCTGTTGTTATTGTTTAATCCACGATGGAAATCAACAGGCAGTAAACTTTTGATGTGGACGTATATCAAACACACTATTAATAGCAAGTATTTTTGTTTCAGCATGCAGGGAGGTCCTGAATTCCAGTTCTAACCATAACACAGTCCCGATGGATGTGGAAATCAGTGATGCAGAAGGGATAGTGACAAAAGATGTAAATCTTACTACGTGTCAATAACCGTAAAAATCGTGTAATACGTAGGATACCATTGTTAGTGCCGCACGACTGGCTATTATTTCGTGCTGTAAAAATCCAGTTGATTGCATCTTCCCAACCACGACTCCCATGCAGAGATGTTCATATGGTGCACCGCTGCTTGGGCTTGTGTGAGCACATGTGTTTATAAAAGGTGTTTACTGTACATCAACTGGTATTGTCACCACATTTCCACTAGCTACACAACTGTAAGTAGAAATGCTGTATCTGATCGAATGCGTTACCGACATATTCCACTAGCTAACAACTGTAAAGTAGAAATGCTTGTATCTGATCGAATCGCTTACACATTCCCAGTAGCTTACACAACTGTAAGTAGAAATGCTTGTATCTGATCGAATCGTTACACCTTCCACTAGCTATACAAACTGTGAAGTAGAAATGCTTGTATCTGATCGAATCGTTACCACATTCCCAGTAGCTACACAACTGTAAGTAGAAATGCTTGTATCTGATCGAATCGTTACCACATTTCCACTAGCTACAGAACTGTAAGTAGAAGTGCTTGTATCTGATCGAATCGTTACCACATTTCCACTAGCTACACAACTGTAAGTAGAAGTGCTTGTATCTGATCGAATCGTTACCACATTTCCACTAGCTACACAACTGTAAGTAGAAGTGCTTGTATCTGATCGAATTGTTCCTGATTGAATAATTTCATTGGATCTCTATAGTTCACATGAAAATAAGGTTTATCTCAGTTAGATCCAAAATAAGTTATATGTACTTACACTGTCATCAGTGTGAGTACATATAACTTATTTGGGATCTAAAGCCTAGCGCAGACTTGCGACTTTTGGTTGCTCGTCGCTGCAACCTGCAACCGCATGCGATCGATCGCACGCTTCACAATGTGTGCGCATGCAAGCGATTTCGGAGCGATTGGGAGCGACGAGTTGCTGAAAATCGAACCAGTTTGATTTCTTGCAACTCGTTGCATGCTACCAGAATCGCTACGAGTTGCAGTTGCACGTTCCCGCAGGCATAGCGATTTCACAGCAATTTCGACTGCGATTCTAGAATGAAAAAGTCGCAAGTCTGCGCTAGGCTTAACTGAGATCAACTTTATGTTCACGTATTGTTCCTGCATTGCCACTAGCTGCACGACATCAGGAAGCATCTGCAGAGCGTGGGGTCAGTGCAGAGTGGACAGCTCTCCGGCTTGTTGATTACACCGGTCAAGGCGCCGGCCGCGCGCAATCTACTGCGTCTCTTCATCGTGTTGGACACGAACATATTGATGTATCATCTGAAATTCATCGACGAACTGAAGGACCATGATATCAGTGGTATGCAGTAAACGTTTCAGTAGTTGGGGTTTACACGCATGCACGCACATGCACAAGCACACGCACGCACGTGCACGCACGCACGCACGTACACACATATACTTGTAATACATGCGATCCAAATCACATGACAGAGTAAAGTTCGAGAACAATTGCCAGTGGTAGATGCAAATGCTGTCTCACTGGACGCGATAGAGAAAGTGAATGTTATAAGTTTGCGACGTATTCCAGCGGTGTAGCGTGTTCATCTATCCCGCACGACGGACCGCGCAACAACATCGTGTGTTTTCAGGACTGGGTCGTCCTACGTTGGTCGTGCCGTGGGTCGTGATGCAGGAGCTCGATGGCCTGAAGGGAAGCAACAGGGCGAGCAAGCTCAACAAGCTATGCAGTGTGACGCAGACGGCAGCGCAGAGTGCAGTCGATTACCTGTATGCTTCCTTGAAGAGCAAGCATCCACGTATCGTAGGCCAAACCGCCATCGAAGTGAGAGCAACGCTTGAGGCGTTAGTTTTAAAACGAGATTAGTTAAAGTAATTGTTGCGAAAGTTTTCTAAGTGTTTTCCCCACTTTCATGGCACCTACCGTTATTGCTTGAGTAACAGCAATTGTCTAGAGTAACGATAAAATGCCTTGGAACCTTCGTATTCACCAAATCATGCACAATTACAATTTTGTGTTCTGTTTTGTTTACTGTTGCTATCTCTCGGACTTTCTCGCGGTAGCCGCGAGACATCTATCACGGTGCAGTAATGCATACCGTCGCACCGTAGAAATCAGGTCAGTGTAAACACAGAGGTTCATACTAGCGTAACAGCAGTGTAGTACTAATACCGCGTAAAGTCTGTTATTAGATAAGCTTGTGGATTACCAGTCGGATAGTAACACGGTAATGACAATGACAGAAAGTGCTCTGAATTATTGACATAAAAAGTCAATAATATTTACCACACAGAATTGCATGCCCTTTTGTTTTAATTATGCACTTCGTTTGAAGGCGCCATTTGTATTTTGGATAGTCGGCATACGGTAATATTCGGAGCTGGTATGATGTGGTCAAATCAATTTTTCTATGCTATAACTGCATAAAATCTTGGTGTTTTGAATGTTAATAATCAGTGATATTTCCACTGTCAGGTGAGACTATATTCAGCTATATTTAGTTTTTCTGAGCCAAAAAACTCGCAATACACGCTTTAAGAAGAGCTGAACAGGTGAGGAGAGAAGCATCAAAAGAGGAACGCGGAGCATGGGTGGAACGCAGGAGGGAACCATGAGAAACTAAAACGGGGTGATATGAGATTGTTTTCAGAAAAGAAACGAATAACTTAATGATGGTAATTTATTAATCAATGTTAAAATATTGAACAGAGTGCGGCTTATCTAATTTCATTATTCTTATAGATACATGGTAAAGATTGCAAGATATAATGCATTTTTTATTCGCAGTCGGCTGAGAAAAGTGACTACCTCATAGTTGAGTGCAATGATGATCGGATACTTAAATGCTACTTCCAGTATATGAAGAAATACCCAAGTAAGTACCTCCTTCAGTTTGAGACGTCATCGCAAACAGCAGACAAATCGCGAATTAAGATTTTGTGAATACTCACCGATGTAATTCATGATTACGGATCACGTTAGTAAATCTGCCCTCTAATTATGAGCTGCTCTCTTACTGTTGCTTATAATTATAATATATATTATTATTATAATAAGAATTCATTATTTAAAAATTAAGATCAGGATAATCATATACATATGGTATTTAACTCACGCATATTTTATTCGCTCTGTATCATGCTTGCTTGGTATTCAATTAATACATTGACCATAGCTATGCAACTCGCAATATTTCGTCAATCGCTAATGACAGAAAGTGTCCAGTTGATGCATAAAACAATGCTTCAACATTTTCAATATAAATAAATTATGTAAATATTTTGGTTTTGTTTGACATTGTGGACTTTGAGATTGTTTGCCAGCAGTTAATCTGGACATGAATCATTTCAACTGTACAATGTAAATGTAAATGTGTCCACGTATGTGTTGTTCTTAGATACCATAATTCTGTTGTTCACAGAATGCCATGTTGTGTTGTTTACAAATGACAAAGAACCTGTGTGCCAAATCCTATGATCAGTGTGGTAAGGCTTACAACAAAACAGGTAAGCACTATCACATGTCACATCGTGTCGTTCACACTTGGCAATATCATCACCGCAATATCACACTAGCATGCCTCTGTATGGTTACATTAATGATGATGTTTATTCGTGTACCAGTTAGTTTTATTCTCGTCGTCGTGTGTGTATTTCACTATTGTAGAGGCTGTCGCAAGGGCTGAGAGAGCTCACTCCATTGAATGCAGTTGCTGATGATGACCACGCTCGGGCAGTGATGCATCAGCTTCTCCGTCTGCTTCTGCTGCAAGTTTTCCACCGCTAGCAGTACAGCAGGTGTGTACGTGTAAATGAACCCTTAACGGTAGAGTTATTGTCACGATTATACGATTACAATCTCACGAGTATATATATGCGTGCTTAGCGATTTATAATGCATTGAAGAATGACCTTGATGGTGCTTTCTTCTTGGTGCGGTGCTGAGTAGGGTCCGATGATTAAATGGCAAGAAATGTCTGACGATTGCTGTAAGAATGTGTAAACCGGCGCCTATAAACACAGTTACTTGACTATGTGTTAGCACGGAAGCGAAATGATTAACATTTGATCGTAATTAGTGCGCTCGGGTATTAATTTAATGCAGTTTAATGATTCTATATAATTCATGTTAATGCCTTTATATTAAATCTAAATCTAATATTATATATAATCTCATTATATTGCTCATGTTGATTAGGATTACTGGAATTTCTTTGACAGGAAAGTATCATTGCAGTCAGGGCAAGTGCAAAAGGCATTGACAAATAGCAGTGACATGAAAGACCAACCCCAGGCAACAGACCAGGATGATGCAGCAGCTCTGTCAATATTGGTATGTACTGCATATGACCGCGAACAATTGTATATTATCTATTATATACATATGTAACATAATGCTTAACCTGACGTATGTGACCAAAAATTGCATCTTGCATTCATACTTGGTATGGTAGCTTAGGACAGCACATGATCTAAGTAGTCATCTATATTGTTGACTTTATATACTATATATACTAATTAAGTGTGTGGTAATCAACGGTAGGGAGAAAGCTCATGTATTAAAATGCTAGAACTAGCATTTGATTGGTGGACTTTCTCTTGGAGTGCTCGTGTTGTTTACCTCGGCCAAGGAGGTTTTGTTATCGCGGCCCCGTGTCGTTTGTGTGTGTTGTTGGCCTGTTGGTTTCTTTGCCTGTCAACAGGATATCTCAAAAGTTACGGACGGATTTTGATGAAAATTGAATCATCATTGATCGTAGTGTAGCGGTTTACTCTCTAACCGCTCGCGCTTGGTTTCGCTTTCTCTGTCTGTAGGGGTTATATGATGTGTCACCGCCACGCTAAACCCGACTACAAATTATATATAATTAGATCGATAGCTATATATAGATATATAGGGGACTGTTAAGCTGTGGCGGAGGTTTGCTATCTCCGATTGCTCTTGTTTTTATTGCGAGCTCGTTCCGCGGGGGGGGGCACCTCAAGTCGCGCGATCAATCTTTTTCCTCTACAGGTGGCCGAGGTCATGCGTGAGTTGTGGAGAGAGCTGGCGGAGGGGCCTGGCAGGGGCGTTGGAAAGTGAGATGAAGCTTGCCTCGACGACCTGTGGCTGAGCATCGTGTTCCGAAAACCCCGTGAGCCTCTCGGACGTCCTCACGGTGTATACTGAAGTGAGTAATCATGCGCGGACCACTAAATATAGCTGAAGGGTCGTTTTCGTATATGTAGTACTCGAGGTGTCGCCGAGTATATCGCCTACGCCTACTCCCTAACCATAACCCTAACCCTAACCCTAATCCTAACCCTAACCCTAACACCCTAACCCTAACCCTAACCCTAACACCCTAACCCTAACCCTAACCATATCAGATAGTTACCTCGCTACATATTATATGCTATTATACGACAACGACCCTTCGTGCCTAAATAGAGCATCTTAAGGATAGACTGCACGTCAAAGTTTAATATATAAATAATAAAATATTTAATAAAAGTTAATTATTATTAAATATATACTTATAATTATAATTATAATAGAAGTGCAGATTGCACGTCAAGATTTGTCAGCAAAGTAAGTGCTTGCACATTGATGAGTTGGTGGGGATTTGACGCGTAATCTTGTTTTTGCATGTAGCATATGCTAGTGATATCACGATCATCGATTATACTCGATCATCGGTTGAACAGTGGCTCGAACCAAGCGCTTGTTATCAAAATCCATAATCGATTTCATCGAAATAAATGTCAAACTGGAACAAGAAATGTCTGAGAGTAAATTGTTTGACACAATATTGCAACGAACAACACCAGAACACTACTATACAAGTTATCCTTTATTAACATACATGTATTCTACACACCAGTAGTAAACAGTGCAAAACAAACAGTAAACGGGGCTAAACAAGCACATACATGCACACACGTACATGCACACGACGTTACGCACACGCAGGCATTCAACACCCCCGAGTAACCGATTGTAACCGATCATCGGTAACAATTTGTCCAACCGATGGTCGATTACGAATTTACCACGATTGACAACACTAGCATATGCATAGCTTTGTTTTCTGTTGCAGACACTGGATTTGCTTGTCTTCAGCATGGTGATTCAGAGGGAGTTGAAAACAGTGTTTGAAGATCTGAACCAGTTCTTTAGCTACAAGACAGGTTTGTTGTTGGAAGGGAAGGGGGGAGTCGTCTCTCGGGAGTAGAAATTAGGTTTATAAAAATGCAATGGCACTATAGTTTGTAGTGAAGTATATCGCCCGTAGGGTCTATGTCCCCCTGACCTCTGTTTGACCTGGCTCGTTTAGCTATTATTCTGACTAACCCTAACCTTTACCCTATATATATTATATATTATATATATAGATATATATATATATATATTAGTCAGAAATAGCTAAACGAGCCAGGTCAAACAGAGGTCAGGACCATAGACCTTATCTGCTGAAGTATCCATGAACCTATGCCACCTAGTGTATTTATTGTTATCTTTGCATGTGAGCGTAAATTATTGAGTTATATTTAAATGCAAGGTTATTTTTAGTAGGGATGTGTGAATTTGAAGGTGGGGAAAGGTTACGCAGTTGAAAGATAAAGTCAGCTCTAGATTGTTAAGTGGTCATGCTTCATAGCTGACGAATTCTCCACTACGCGTCACTGTTGTTTTTAACGTATCCACAGTACAGCGTTTAGCTTTTATCTCTTCAGGTTCAACAGGTAATGATTATAATTTCACATTTGTGATGATTACCTCTGCCAAGGAGGTTATGTTTTCGCCCCTGTTAGTTTGTTTGTTGATTTGTTTGTTGGTTTGTTTTTTGGTTTGTTTTGTCTGTCAACAGGAAATCTCAAGAGGTTACGGACGGATTTTGGTGGTGATCCGGATCCAGATCTATATCCAGGATTTTTTGTTGTGGGGAAGACTTCAACGGACGCATTCAAAATTCATAAAAAAAAAAAAAAATCAAACTATATTGGGTGAACCAGCAAGATGGGGGGACTGATACGCTGTGGTGGAGGTTTGCTATCTCCGCGACTGATACGCTGTGGCGGAGGTTTGCTATCTCTGCGGACTGATATCCTCTCTCTTTATCATTCTATGTCTCCTCACTGTCTCTCTCTCTCTCTCTGCCTCTCTCAATCTCTTCTCTGCTCTCCTCTCTCTCCTCTCTCCACTCTCTCTCTTCAATCTCTTCACGCTCTCTCTCTCTCTCTCTCTCTCTCTCCCCTCTCTCTCTCTCCCTTCTCTCTGTCTTGCTCTCTCCATTTCTCTTCTCTCCCTCTCTCCCTCCCTTCCTCTCCCTCCACTCACTCACTCCCACTTACACTCACTCCCTCCCCTACCTCTCTCTCTCATTCTCCCTCCATCCCTCTCACTCACTCCCTCCATTATCTCCCTATCTCTCTCCTCCCTCCTTCCCTCCTCTCTCCTTCCCTCACTCCCTCCCTCCCTCCTCCCTCTCCCCTCTCTCTCTCTCTCCCTTCCTCTTGGTTGCACCGTACCTTAACGAATACCCATGAGGAGTAACTCGTCGGCGTGGGTTTACTTTGCAGCTCTGAGGCTGGCTCCTTGCAGCGAACGCGGAAGTTCTCACGTGGAGCGAGGCGGCCCTGGCCAGCTTCGAATCGGGAAGAACGCAGCGAGTGTCCATCGGCCTCGGTCACACGTAAGGCAGCTGCAGACGATCTGTGCGGCCGTCCGGCCGCCGTGAACTGCAGGTGGCGCCACTGCAGAGCTCTGAAGCAGACGAATGGTGCTAAGCAATTGGGTGCGTGATGGTGTGGGGAAGTGATGGTGATGGGTGAGTGTGGGGGAGGCTCGGATGGTGGATGGGTGAGTGTGGGGGAGTGGAAGGGTGGATGGGTGAGTTGAGGGGTGTGGGGGAGTGGAAGAGTGGATGGGTGAGTGAGGGTGTGGGGGAGTGGTAGGGTGGATGGGTGAGTGAGTATGTGGGTGAGTGGAAGGGTGGATGGGTGAGTTAGGGTGTGCGTGAGTGGAAGGGTGGATGGGTGAGTGAGGGTGTGGGGGAGTGGAAGGGTGGATGGGTGAGTGAGGGTGTGGGGAGTGGTAGGGTGGATGGGTGAGTGA